TCCCCAAAAAAAAATCTTTAAAAAGAAAAGCCAAAAACACCTCACTCTACTGTAACCAAGGCCCTTGAGTTCTAGGACAAATACAGAAAAGAAAGAAACCAGTCTAGCTTCTAAAACCTTGAGACCATATATTTATGTACTACATCTAGAATCCTGAGGTCTACTGGCCAGTTCAATAATGTGGATTTTTTTTTTTTTTAGTCAAAAATCCCTCCTCCCAGTGCACCATTTTATAATTTTATCCCCCTCCCCGCTCCCGTCACCATAACAACCCGCATCACAAGGCAGGCTGCAGGAACATCAACAAGAGACCTTCCCCAAGTTTGAAGGTGTTTAGCCTTGGAGATTTCCTTGTGTGCTGTTCTAATGAGGTCTCCATAGGAGAGATAGCACTGTACGGCTACCTGCGGCAGAAACACTGACATAATAACATGCCGAAGCACTGAAAAGAGTAATGAACGTGACCCACAAACACTGAAAATCATCACAGAAGTAAGCATCACCGTGACCAGTATGCGCTGAGAACTCACCGTGTGTCCGCACGGCACGTTAACTGCACTTAACACTCAGCAGTCCTAGGACGTAAGAGGCTGTTTGTTACCCGCCCCCTGGGTGGGGTGAAGCGAGCTGCCTGGGCACATGTGCATGGGGAGTGTTGTGGCCAGGAGTCAGTCCAGGCCTGACTGAGTCCTCAGCAATCTCTGGAGGTGCCTGGTGTCCTGGAAGCAAGGCTGCCACTTGGTTACGCCACCCACATCCAGAGTACTAACTAGGTCAAATCCCTATGAAAATCGCATCAGCCTTACAACTTGAGAAGAAAGAGAAAGGCAAAGCCTTTGAAAGCCATAGGGAATGCACATCATCACAGCAGAGGCTCAGCTTTAGCTGCTGGCGAAATGTTGTGTAGATTCTCACTTTTGGAAGCGAGGCCTGCGCGCTAGCAGCGTGAGCATCACATGGGAACTTGTTTGGAATGCGAATTCCCGGGCCCCTGCCCAAAGCAGAAGCTGCGCTAATGAGATCCCTACGTGCGCCTCCAAGTTTGAGACGCGCAGGTGTGGAGAGCACTGTGGCATTGGCAAGGAGGACGTAAACACATTTGCCTCCAGACCACCACTGCTTCACTCATTCCGCATGGAGACCTCATCAGTAGCCTTGAGCTCCATGCTTAAAGGGCAGGCCCTGACCTTGTAAGTATGAGCAGCTGCTGTTGCCTTGGAGAAGGTCCTACAGCTTGAGTAGCTCTGCAGGTGCTTAGAATTAGCAGAGGTCCGGACTGGGGCCCACTGAGCATGCGCCCCACCAAGGCATCCCTGACTCGTGCCTTTAAAAGACTGGGGGTGGGAACTGTGATGAGAGAGCCCGCTCACTCTGCGGCAGCAGTAGGTCACAGGTTTCAATTCTGCCAGTCAAATAAGCAAAGGCAAACGGGTCATAGCTCAGCAGACTGCACAGTTGTTGAACTCGTCCCCTTCCAGGGACATCCCGGTCCCTGAGTGCCTTACCTAGCCATGAACCCACAGCCTGCACCAGGCTCTACCAAAACGGATGATGCCAGGATCCCCTTATAATTCCAGCCATTTCTGTCCAC